CATGAGCGAAGCTGATAGAATCGTCGAGATGGCCAGGAAAAATGCCGCTGACATTGAAAACAAGGCTCGTGTCGAGCAGTCAATGGACGAAGATAAGGATAGCACGGAAAAGCCAGTATCTCATGAGGCACAACACAAACCCGCTAGTGACGACGATAAAGACAAGATGACCAAACCTGAATAGCCTACGCTGCTGTGATAGTACATGAGAAGCATTCACAACGTATTTCCTTTACGTTGGAATTTCGGATTCATACCGGAGTCGTCGAAAATCCCATAATGATAGAATTGAGGTTTGTCATGATGCCATACACCCATGAAATTTATGCCTTCTCCCTGTTATCTCTGCGACCTTTTCTTTCTCTCTTGCCTTTTTTTTTATTTACTCTATTTGCAGGGTGCCTGTCTTTGACTTTGGCTACTCTTCCGATATCTACGTCTACATCCTTTCCCCCATATCCCTATTTCCAGCGCCGTTAACCCCCCGAACCCGTGGTATGGCCAGCTGCTCGACAGCTACCTTTGAATCGACGCATCTACTAGTGTACGCGGTGCTGGACCTGATAATACCTCCTTTATTCTCCCTCTCTCCCTCCCTTTTCTGATAAGACACCTGTATCCTGCCTGTTATTGCCTCTATTTCCTTTTGTTATTCCCAACATTTCACCCTTTCTAATTTTCCTATTTTCATATGATGGTGAACAGGGGTATGGAGCTGGGGTAAAGCCACCACTGCGCGCATGCTTGGGCATTTGGTAGATAAAGGGCATATTCCTCTTTTCCTTCTTCTCTATGTATGAGTAGAAATCCTATGTCTTTTTTTTTTCTTTTTGCGTCTCCTCGTCCTCCTCTCCTCTCTCTTCTCCTCTCCTCCCTCCGAATGGTCTGTCTGGCCATGAAATCCAAGCATGCCCGGATTGCCAAACAGCCCTGAATCCGACCGTCTTAACCCCCGCAAGCCACCCGTCACGGCCAAAAAAGCCACGCCGTTTCGGCTTCTTCCATATCTCTCGGGGGCTGGGTTTCAAACCAGCCTAGAGGTATGCCTGCACAGATCCGATTATCATTCTACGTCATGTTGAAGTTATCAGGAATCGCATCAGATGATAAGTGACGGTGGCCAGGTCTTCTCTCCACCATATTCCATATCCCATTCACCATGTTCCCTACAGTTCCATATCATACATATTATGGCTACATCTTTTTTTGGCCAGAAAACCGGTCCTTATCAAACGTATTTTGAGGGTTTGCAAGAATCGCCCCTCCAGACCTGGGGGTTGAAATTCGCCTTGCTCGATTTTCGAAACTCTGTCTCTTCATCATATGCCTTCGTTATTACTACCAGGCAGCAGATACTAGAAACAGAGTAAAACGAATGCCTATAATCGGTCACGAAACCTGGTCCATACATCATATCCGAAATATTGTGCATGTCTCTGACGTAACGGGTTATTTGCCCGCTAAGGGGAGGGGAGGGGGGGGGGACAGTCGAACGGTCAGGAGAAAAAGCCCCTTGGCGTATCTGCTCGTTTATTATGCCTTCAACAGAGAGGTGCTCGATATCCGATGTCTCGAGACCATGCGAATTTTGCGAGACTTGATACAAGATACCTCTCAGTCCGGGCCGGCCGTGATTCTCTATGCAAAGAGTGGCATGCATATACGCTATACATAGTCTATAGTTCTTCAGGGCCGTGTATATCATTGGTAGCAAGCTTCCTACATAAGGACCATTAGCCGTATACGAGCAGTGAAGAATCACCCACTTAATGGTCCCTGGCCACGTTGTGAGTCTCGAAGGCCTGCTTGTTCGGTCCAGTCACCGGTCAGAGCCTATCATCACGATCTGAGTTGGCATCAAATGTCCTCTGACAGTCCCGCAACCGATACCGCTCACATGTACGTACATCATGTTATGTTCCCGCATCCTGCATCAAGTTGCATAGATAGCACCCGTGTGTGATAATATCTGCGTATTCCCAAGCAATAATACAGCGTGTTCGCCTCGCCGTGCTGTCATGCAGCAGCAGACACGGGCTGAAACGACCAATGCCAACGAAGCCGGCCGAGACTGAGCTGACTGACAAATCCCGACCAGATTGTACACAGTTTCGGGACCTTTTGTTGAAAAAGTTGAAGAAGAAGTTTGGGATCCATTCAGTTTTCTTTTCTGGCGATGCCGATATCCCCCATATCTTCGAACGAGTGAGAAGTGAAGAAAAGTCGACAGTGGAGTTGGACATATTAACTATCGGCCTGGAACCCCAGCTGTGCTTCAAACCTAGAGGCTCGTGTATGTCTGATATTGGACTCTTGGCTCTGTTAAATTCAGATTGCACCCGCCTGCAGATCGACGCTCCAACCTGGGCCGCCCTGGCAGCTTTGTAACAGTGTTGCTTAGGGCGAGCAAGGGGGATGTCAGTAGCAAGTATAAGACGTCGAAATGCTTGTTGCATGGATTCCGGTAGCAGTTCTGGAGACAGGCAGGTAAGCAGGAAAACATGCGCATTGTTTAAGAGAACAGAGGAAACATCAAGAAAACGACAAGCTGTCATGCAAGGGAGGGAGAAGAACGTCTATACATGAGTTTATATTGTACATGGCATTTTAAGACCTAGGGATACATGAGTGACTAGAAGCATAGGTGTGGCAGCATATAGCATATCAGGGGGTAGAATGACACAGGGAGAAGAAGAAAAACCTTGGAAAACAATCCCAGCCGTGATTATAGTAGTACTCCAGGTTTCTTTCTTCGTTGCCAGCGCATAGATGGAGGCAAAAGTATTTCCAAAAGTACACACAAAAGAAAATAATGAGCCGACAATCAAATGAGTAGAAAAGATGACCGATAAGATCGTCCTCTATCAATGATCTAGCTCTTCCAAAATCTCAATCCCTTCTTGACTGGCTCCTCAGCGGGGGCGCTGGTTGAAGCATCTTCTTCGATAAAATTCTCTCCCGAGGATGAGGACGGATGGTCGTTCCCGTATAGTTTCAGAAAAGGGCTGATGATATGTTCCCGACTCGGTTCAAGCTCTCCGTGATGGACGGTAGTGGGCCATGATCGAGCATACTGAGCATCCTGCAGATCGGCCCAGAGAAGTTTGACTTCCCCCTCCCTAACCTTGTAATCCGCCAGCTCACCTTCCACATCAATTTTAGCCTGGAAGCCTTTGGTTGACATGGATTTCTCAAGCGCCTCAATTCGCTGTCGAATGAGTTCTTCATGTGCTTGCTGTCGTTTCTGAGCTCGTATCACACGCCGCCTGGCCTTGTGGGATAATTTCTTCTCCTTTGATTTTCCATCTTCTGTTGACGCTTCCTCTTCTCTCTCCTCCTGCTGTCGTTCCCTTCGTTCACGTTCGGCTTGAATTGCCAAGACGGCAGCGGTATCGGCAACACTGGTGGCTTTCTGGTCCATCAATACCTTTGCCCGGTCTTTCTTCACCATTATTTGGCCAATTCGGCCGCTCATTTCTTTGTCCCATTTCTTAGCTTCATCCAACGCCTGAGGCCGTTTTCTCTCCAGTGATTCCTTGGAATTTGTGATTAAATGGGCTGGTGGTTCGAATTGTCGTTGACGAGAGAACTCTCGTAGAAGTTTGTACGCCTCGAGGCCGAGCGATGGAGTAGGGAAATGCACCGAGAAGTACGGCACCCACATGTCCTTACGCAGTGCAGCAGGAACGGTTTTCTTGCCATGGTATACAAGCTGTGATTGGACATTCTGCCACTATATTGAATCGAAAATAAGATCTCATTAGCAGACATTCTCCTGTGGATATCGAAAATAGTGAGAAGTAAATAGAAGGTAGCGAGAGGGCTCATACATCTAGAGATCGTGAAAGCGAGTAAACCACCTGATTTGTGCGGAAGTTGTTGTAGGCAAAGATATTCTTCCCATGTGTGATATGTTGAAGCGCTTTCTTTAACCTGGCGCTCTCCTGCTGTCCGAAATTTTTGGCCGCCTGAGAATTGGGGAATCGAACTTTTCCCTGAATCTGCTTCCCTTGTGTCCTTGGGAACCGCACAGCATGCGTTGTAACGGCTGTTGTAGGGTCAAATAGACGAACCGTCTTTGCTGCCGCGGCCGTCGTCGCGGAGGCCATTGTGAGCGATCCGGGGGTCGAATTCGATATTAGATAAATTAGGCGTCAATTAAAGCTCTGATCTGTCAAGCATTGTCCCTTATAGCCGTGAAAAACGTCAGCTGGCGGTTCTTATTGTTGCGTTGGTTGTTTCTTGGACGTTGAAATTGAAGTTTTTCGCTTTGAGCTTCAAGAAAAAAAAAAAAAAAAAGTTTCTTGATTTGGTAAAAAGCGACGTCGCCAACTCTGGACCAAACAGAATCCACGCCAGCAACCGCAACGACAAACAACCAACAGCTACCACGCGGCTACTGAGCAAGAGATGGCCACCTGCTGAGATGCGCACTATTGCTGGCTGCGGTAGATGAGCTCGCTTATTATTCGGCGCCCGCGGACAAGCTGAGGGCCTCCTTGGGAAGGATGATGCAACACCCGGTACACTTATGTTCGCAGCGCCGCAGACAACTAGGCGAGAATGTCGACCATTATGGATGAGCAGCCAGGCGACGATGGCTTTGCCGGGAGTAGGCGGCAGGGCCCATGGCTTCTTGCTTCGGTACAGTTATCTCCAGACGGGATTTTGTGCTTGCTGGTGATGTAGTTAGTGCTAACATTTGGGGCAAATTCGCATAGAACCGCAAGCTAAGGCACCTTCAAGGCATTGCCGTCCGCAATCTCGTGGTTTCTGGTCCTCCGTCAAATAGGATACGCGGGATGACAATAGACGATCAGAGTGTTCCTTATACTTTACAGTCTCCAGCTAAAGCCCTCGCGGTGCGAGAGGACCGGACTGTCCAGCATTCGCGATCTACTACCGATCTAAAACTATCCCGGTCTCCTCCCAGCTTGAATATTACAGCCACTAATGCTGGGAGTGATAACAAAGAAGAGCTTTATATGAGGCGGAGGAGGAGTACGCTACCATGGGCCGGAGCGAGCCCTGGAATTCGTCAATCTCGGCTGGAACAGATTGCTAGTAGCAAGATGGCTGACACTTGGTTCTCATTACATTGCAAAGGCATCCCGGAGCCTGTTTACATCAGTGAGCTGGTGGAAAATGCTATGAACCCCAGCTTCAGACATTTTGACCTGAATATATGTGGTCCCCAGGTCTCACGGTTGGACGAAGCTACTGTCAAGCTCTGGGCACGTACAAACCAAATGCCAGAGTACTTTTTGCTTTTGGAACTTCGGGTAAACTTCAAGTCACTTCAATACATCGGGAAACATCTGGATAATTTTCGGCATCCATTTCCTCCAAACTGCGTCATCTTTCGTTTTACGGATGGCATATACGCAAGCCTGACAGATGCTCCCCCCCTTGATCACACTCTGCCAACCCAGCCACAAACGAGCGAGCCACCGAGGGATGAACAGCAACAAACGTCATCATACGATGCTCTTATGAAGTTGGCAAACTTTGATGACTGTATTCAGGACGCTTTGGTCACTAGGGAAAACCTGGAGGCCCAGATAAACTCCATTCTAGAAGGAAACCAGGCGCAGCTCGACGTTTCAAGCCGGAGTTCAGAGGCTCAAGAGAGACTCGCAGCCGTCAAACGTGCAGTTACCGGAGAGAAGAGCCGTCTTCGCCAATCCCTTGGCCAAAAGGACAGCATGATCAAGAGCTTGATTGCACGAAGACAAGCTATGGAAGAAGGCCGTCTCAGCCAAGACAATAGCTTAACTTATCTATCTGATGCTCAAGAGGCAAAAGAATCTAGCCAAGCCCTTTTGAAGAGGACTGCTGAGGACTCGATGGGGCAAATCCGCCGTATATGCGAGGACTTGCTTGCCACATATCCTATAGAGCCAGTCCCTAATATACCTCTTGGGTTTACTATCAGGGGCCTTGCTCTCCCGAATTCCTGCTTTGATGATATCGACAAGGAAGCGGTTGCGGGGGCACTGGGATATACATCACACGTGGTATATCTCCTCTCGTTTTATCTTTCAGTGCCTCTTCCCTACCCTGTCCGGCCATACCTCTCGACCTCGAGCATCCAGGATCCCATCTCAGTTGGTCTTGCTCAGCGGACGTTTCCGCTGTATCCGACAAACACCCAATATAGATTCGAGTATGGGGTGTTCCTCCTTAACAAAAATATAGAATACTTGATGAACCGGCTCGGCCTAAGAGTCCTTGATATTCGTCACACGCTTCCCAATCTCAAGTATCTATTGTACATGTTGACAGCAGGGACAAATGAGCTTCCGGCAAGAAAGGCAGGCGGAATTCGTGGCCTGCTCGTTGGACGATTGACACCCAGTTTGTCTCGTCAAGTAAGCCGTGATAGCCTGTCAAGCATCGATACGACGATGACAATTCGCCAGAAAAAACGCCTCCCATCACCAGCTAATAATTACCTTTCTTCTCATCCTCACCATTCTCACCCTCCATCTCATTCAGCGATTTCAACTTCCAAATACAACTTCATCTCCGCCTCTGCTGCCCAGCCAAGCATCGGCCCCATGCAGAAAAACCTGGGGTCAGGAAACGACCAGGTTGGTGCGTCGATGGCTGTCGCCACACCCGTCACCTCCAGCAATGAACGATGATAGCGATATTATTATTAGTAAAAAAAGATAGGGCGCGCGGAAGGGACATTGACAGACCTGCAACAACCATGCGCCTGCAGACCAAGGTGGGATCCAAACTTCCATTTGACAGGGAATTTACCAGAGTTCCTCCTTTTTTTTCCCCACTCGATGTTATATTCTAGTGTATACGATTTTATCGGTTCATCTGGATTCACAGCTGTTAGCTCATTGTTATGCCCATTTGACTTTTTTTCACCTTATGTGTCGTTGTTTTCTCCTCGTTTCCAGGGACGGGGTCTGGATTTTATTGACTGGCTGGCACGCCCTCGATTTTCAGGATTTGGATGGAGGAGCATTGCATTATCTCTCTGACTTACTTTTGCACCAATGCGGCTATCTCGATATACTATGCACATACCTGATTGATGCTACTTGTTCGTGTATACTTACTTACTCCCTTCGAACTTGCTTCTTCCGATTTTCTCAGGACAAGGCCTGGCTGCATTGCCTCCATGCTTCTACCTACCTTTTCTCTCTTATCTGGTGTCAAACTGACATACGCTATGTCCGGAGAAACAAGCTATGTATATAGCTAAGTCCGGGATTTTGCGGAGGTAAATGCCTGCAATCTGCAATCCATTCCTTAGAAAGCAGGAGTATGTCTATTTATGACTACTTTTTTTTTAAACTTGGCAGCTGAAGGAGCCATTATTGGTATGTATGTACCTCAGGCAGGGTTTGAAGGCTGAATACATGCGAATGTGATAGATGAACTCCGCACTACTGTTCCTGAAGCAGTGTGTGTGATCGACCACCTTAACTGACTCGCTTATCTCTTGACATCGCCTTGGCTCGTTTCAAACCAGCTGGCGAGTTCCTCCTTTCAGCCCAAAAATTCTGGCGCTACTGCAAACGGGCTCGCCGATATTGCGAAGACGAGTGCAATTTTGGATGTTATGCAGGTCTCACGAACTCGTTTTCCAGAGATGAGGTGGCTGGGGGCAGCAGTTCATGGTCTGGGTCTTTGTCGCTTGGTTAATACTCAATTATCCTTGGGATTAATGCTGCAAGTAATGAACGATGGAGGTAACATGACATGCTGAAACCTACCTATAGCTGCCATCCTTTTAAGACCCAAGGTTTCCAGAACGCGGCTCATGGGCGAATGGTTCTCGCGGGAGGGCGTCATAATGTGATTCCTATGTCTATATCAGGTCGATGCAAGCGTTGTCAAGGTGTTTGAACTCTATCATTTTTTTTGTAAACGTCAGAGACGTATCAGAACACTCGCTCGGTGCTCGAGTGTCGAAAAAATCTTATTATCTGGATTTGACTGGTGCAAGTCCTTGACTCAGGGTATCAGAGTTATGTTCATCAAACATGGAACATGGAACATGGCTCTTTCTTTTCTCGTTCTATTATCAGGACTCGGGATATGGGGATCACGTTGAAATCAGTTAGCTTTTCGGTGGTGATCGGCATGACGTGCAACGGGCCGTATCTGTACAGAGGTTCTATGTATATCCATACATCCCTCCACTATCGCCTTGAAGGGCCCATGCATATCTATGCATAGACACAGATCAGGACGTGAATATCGGCATGGTCCCCTGGATGTGGTTCGTAGGCCACGGGGAGATTCGTGGGTTGATCTCACCGTTGAACGTGTTCAGTGCGCCCTCCGCAAACTTGGATTGTCTTGGAGGCAGGAACTACTCTTTCGGAGGCGTTCAGGAGGGTGAGTGCTCCGTATGCTCGTTTGACTCGACTAGACTTGAGGAGCACTGGTGTTTCGTTCTGGAATTTGCTTTTTGCTTCCTTTTCTCCTAACGTTTTTCTTGAGCATTTGGGTTGGAGGCATCTCGTTTTCTCTTTTATCTATCCAACTAGAGTAAGAGAGGCTAGGGCGAACACGATCCATACAGGGTTTTGATAACTTGTTTGGGTTTCTAGAGGATAAATGAAGATGCGGAGGATGCTCCGTAGATGGGTACCTACTATAAAATGCGGTATCCGGGAAAAATAATGGTCAGATTTCGGGATCGAAGGTGCATGATCTGCCAATGAAGGTGAGTCGATATGCTGTCTGTGGAGGGACGATGCCGATATCTGTCAGGAAACTCGGAGCCGATTAGCCCCTGGGGGCAGGGAAGAGGTATCAATTTCCCCGGACTTTGAACCGAAAGTAGAAGGAGATTGCAACGGGCGAATCCAGGTTAGCAGGTAGGTAATAATTCCTGTGGCCAAGCAGACTGTATGATGGAAGCATAGCAGGGTCGGTCTGATCATTCTTTTTCTTTTTCTTCCATTTCCCTTCTTTCTTTCGATTCCTTTCCTTTTTACTTGCTTCTGTCAAAGCGCGGACAGGGACAGGCCTTGTATTGAAAGAGCCATCAAGGGGCAGCCATTTACGAGGGAACCAAGGGTTCATTCAAGAGATGAACCGTAAATTGTCGGCGAGCCGATTTTGTGTCCCACCAGCTCGTTCCCGCTCCTCCCCGTTCCTCAAGCGTGGTGTTGATACATGTTTCTTAGGTAGCGGCCTGAGACTCGAATTCGAACTCGAATCCGAAGACCATGGTTCTATCCCGCCAAAGTCCTCGAGTTCAGTTGGGAAACGAGAAGGCAAAAAGCCTATCACCAGTCCACCTGATATGCATGTACTCCATCCCGTAATGCTACGCTGTAAGTAGCTAAGCGATTCGAGGAGAGCTTGACTTGCTGGTCGAAGGGAACAGAAATACTTGTTAATATGAGCTGGTGTTGAAGTCGATCGATGGACTCCATATTCAGATGGGGCGCTAATATGGGGCGCTTGAATAATATGATTGTCTCCCGCTTTTCCCCTCACCCCTAGCAGGCATCTGCTCCCTTTCTCTGTGTATATTTTTCTTTTCATTGAGGTAACGGTGACCTCGTGTTCTCCATCAAATGGAGACTGGAGATGGATCCGGGTGTTTTACCAAAGCCGTCCTTAGTGCGAATCTGCAAGATTCACGTCACAGGAAATGCTTGACATCAATTGGTTGGGGGGCGCGAAGGCCTACCCCAGATGATGCACCCGTTTTTCGAGTTTAATTTCCCCCCAACTACCACGGAGGATAGTTATTAGGCCGAACCTGAAATGTGAAAAAAAAAAAAAAAAAAAGTGTAGCCAGGTGAGTATTCAAGCTAAAGTCAGACAGTCTATTCAAAGTGTCCGACCTTAACGCTAACACGAGAATGGCGCATAGTATAATGAATAGTTATGCGTGTAAAATCGAGTCGAGAAGGGGGTTCCATGTAATATGCCATGGTTTTGACGGATGTACCATCGTCTCCACTCAGAAACACAGAAAAAAGGTCATCACGCAGTCGTAGTTTTTCTGGGCGTGCATCAGGATCGTACATTAGCCTTCAACGGCGGGCCATTCAGCAGGCAGAGAGTCCGGGAAAACCCACCGATTTGTGGAGAGGAGGAAGTCTAAACAAATTTTTCGTCTGTCTTCTTCCTTTTATTTTTCTAGAAAAAAGGTGCGAGTTGACATTTTTCTCCTCGTTTAAAGTTGTTGAGCTGGTGTGGTATCCCCTGCATCTATTACGCAACAGTAACTCGCATCCTGCCAGGGGAGGAGGAAGAGGAGGAGGAGGCAGGAAGACGGGCCAGCGAGCCAGTAGTCAGAGAGGGACGAAATTGTAGCTCAACAAAGGACTGACTCTCTGGCGGGCGAACGGGGGAAGTATCCAGCCGTGACCGTGAAGTTATGCATCTCGCATCTCGAGCGCAACATATGTAGTTTATGGCACTGCGTACTCGGTCAGATCGCTCCTGATGTTGGCGAGCTCGACTGACTGAGTGCATGGGTCATTATATAGGCTGGGATCAATGCTGAAGAACAAACAGCAAGAGAGGAAGACCCCAAAACAAGGCCCCCTTCCCCCTTCTGATTGCTATCTCCATAATTTGATAGCCGCCAGGATGGAGCAAGCAGCTTGGTGGTCCTTCGTCTCTCAGAGTAACTAACTCTAATAATGGCATGAAGTTAGTAAAATGTCTTAAGAAACGTTGCGGGCATGGATGTTGGCGATAAGCAGCAACGCTCTTCTCCCCTCAAATACCGTGTGGATGTCAGTCTTATGCACTCTGCCTCTGCCAGTGGTCATAATAATGCTTGATGTGCTGTCTGTTGTATATATATAGACCCCGGGGGGCATCTCGGGGTTTCCCCCGTCCCCCCCCCTAGGGCCTCACTCCACCGCTGTCTGTCTAGATAGAGGTTATACATCTATAAGAATATCTGCATAAGTCTCTTCTGCTTGGTGGAGTTTTTTTAGTCTCCTTCTGCTGCTCCGCCGTCTGCTTCTCCCTCTTGACGTCGTTGAGTCTCTTTGCTTTTGCTTCTTTTTTATATCTTCATCTTTTTCCACCTTTTTTTTTTTTTTTTTTCTGCCGCCCGCCCGCACTTTCTTCTTCTCTCCGCCTTTTCCTCAACTTCAACTTTCGACTTCAACTTCTTCCTCTCAAGGCGTGTCTTGCGTGCCGAGCGAGAGAAAGCGAGCTGAAGGCGAAGCGGAAGCAGCAGAAGCAGCCGGAGAGCAACTGAAGAGGCGCTGCTGAGCAGGAGGACGTCCCGTCTGAGCTGCAGGAACACCTTGGATCGCCGCTGTGACGACGGTGGCTGCCAATTGGGCGCGCTCCAGGACGATATTCCCCAGGAGGCACAGCCTGCACCGCAGACACAGTAGCACCGTCTCGCGACAAAGAGAGGGAGGAAAGCGCCATGGAAGACATCAGAATGGCCGGTAGACCGGCGCCAATGGCTGCTGTGCCGTCGTCTGTCCCGAATTCCTCGTCTGTCGCTCACAATCCAGCTCCGCAACAGCCGCAGCCGCAGCAGCAACCACAACCACAACCGCAGCCACCACAGCAGCCGCAGGACCTAAATACCAGATTTTCTCCCAGACGCTCTATTTCTCCTCCGGCCCAGCATAGACGGGGCTACCAGGCGTGTGATCCATGCAGGAAACGGAAAGTGAAGTGCGATTTGGGGAGTATGTCTTCAACATGCCTCTTGGAAGCCGCCATGCAAAAAAGAAAGAAAGAAAGAAAGACGGCTTGGATGGAGTGGATTGCTGACTTGATGCAGGTGTTGATAACCCGAGACCGCCCCCATGCGTGAGGTGCCGCCGCGAGAGCAAGAGATGCGAGTTCTCTGCCACCAGACGCAAGCGCAAAATCTCTGAGGAGTCGGACGACAAGGGAGCCAGCGTCTTGCGCCGGGACAAGCGCATGATGGTGGCCGATGGATCTGTCTCTCCCAGCATGGACAGCGATAGCATCTCGAGCCCCATTCCCAACGGGGTGACTTCTCATCCACGGGGCAGCCTACCCCCCTTCGAAAACGACCCTCGACCTAATGGCTCTGCTGCGCAGCGTAAATGGTCCAATGCTACTGCTCCTCCTCACCGTATCTGCATCCCACCCACCGGTGTCTCTGTTCCTGCTCCTACATCTATCCCGATGGACCAGTATCACGCTCACCGCGCGAGCTTTTCTGGTGCTGTGCGGCCAACTTTGCCGCCCCATGTCCTCGAGAGCGGCCAGCACATGATGAATAAAACCGCTGCAGAGTTGCTCTCTCCTGCCATTAGCAATACCCATGATGCCCTGCATCTTCTCTCCGAGGCCGCCGGCAGGACGGAGGACCTAAATCGTCAGCAGATGGAATACCAGTACAATGGACGACAGTCCTCTACTTCGACGTTCGCATCTGTCTCCCCAGGTCAGCAGAATGGCACACCAGGTAGAGCGAGCAGGTCAAACTCCACGACCCAGCAGGGTGCTGGAATGAGCTGGTATAGCCAGAACAAGGGTGGCTCTCCTAGCGTTGAGGTCCTTGTGGAAGGCACAGACGCCGGCCTAAGTCCTCCCAGGGCAACGCAGGATCTCGACTACAGCAAAGCTCGCAGGGCTTGGTCAAGGCTACGATTTATTCGCGCTGGCTGGTTTAGTGTGGATGAAGCAATGTCCTATATCGAGTAGTAAGTTTTGCATACGTTAGTGTCGACATGGAAACAACTGCTAACAATATATTTGTTTCTAGCTACTATGAACACCTTGCGCCATTAACCCCCATTGTCTTGAAAAATTATAGCTCTCCATCCACACATCTTACTCTTTTAACGGAAGAGCCAGTGTTGACTGTCACAATGCTCACCATTGCCTCTCGACATATGAAACTCTCTGGCAATGGTGCTAACTCACGAGCTTATTCCATCCATGAAAAGTTGTGGTCATATCTCAGAGGTATGATCGAACGTCTCTTCTGGGGCCAAGAAAAGTTTGGTGACTGTGGTGGTGCCTCGGCACCTAGGCAGTTTGATGCCTCTAACCCACTATCCGCTGGACAGGGGCAACGGGGCGGTGGCCAGCTGAGGTCTATCGGAACTGTCGAAGCCTTGCTGCTGCTCACTGATTGGCATCCGCGCGCCCTTCACTTCCCACCAGGTGACGACGAAAACACCCTGCTCGATGTTGACCCACAACAGCTCAATTATTTTGATGGAGAGGGTGACGACCATTTCCATGATCATCCAGGCAAGGGTCAAGGTGGAGCAGGTGAAGGCCGCCTTGCATTCTACAAATGGCTTGAGCCTGTGTGGCGCTCTGATCGGATGTCGTGGATGCTCTTGAGCACTGCTCAGGCTCTTGCCTTTGAGCTCGGCATCTTCGACCAGAAAAATGACCTCCGAGCATCTACCGAATCCTCCTGTGAGATGGCCAGGAAACGCCGCCTACGCCGACTGATCCTTGTCTACGTCTCGCAAAGCAGTGGCCGCTTGGGGATCCCATCCATGCTCCCCCTCCCACAATGGAACCAGAACACTGAACCCCTTCGTGCAGAGGACATGCAGTCACCCAACTTCCATGAGGATTACATGATTGACATGATGCAAGATTGCTGGATGGATATCTCCAAGATCATGTATAACAGCAACCAGGTTCTTTTCCTGTCCAAGGAACTGACCACCAACTTGATCAAGAGTGGTCAATACCGAGATCGGATCGATGAGTTTACCCCTTCTCTAAGAGACTTCAAGGCAAAACTCGATAAGCTTTCAGGTACACATATAATCTCCTGAAAACCCTATATGGGATGGCTTGACTAACTAACTCTTACAGTACCACCTCAAATGCGAAATGTTTTAACGATTGAATACGAATATACCCGTAAGTATCAACACCTTCATCGTGTTTCTTACAAATGACCGCATAACCATATCTTAGGACTATATGTCAATTGTTTAGCTCTACAAGCCGTCGTTGGACGATGGACTACCATGAATGATGCTGGTTCACATACCAA